CCTGCGGGGGGGCTGAAGCCGCCCCCGCGGGCTGCCGCCGGTGGGGGGGGCGGAGTGGTTTGCGCGGTGGGACCAATCATGATGCCGTGCAAGGGCTCTGAGGTCGGTCGCGTAGAAGGGTGGCGTCTCGGTAGGGCGGCATGGTCGGCAGCGTGGGGTGTCGGCGGTGCGTCGTCTATGCCACTCAGTCCGCGGGGGTCACCCAGGTCGTCGTCGGCGTCTTGGCGGTGGCCGATATCATCGTATGGGGGCGTTGTCGCTCTCGGGGACGGAGTCGCGGTAGGCGTCGAGAGGTTGCCCGACGGGGCAGGGTTTTCGCTGACTGGTCCGTCGTCCAAAGCGTCCGATCCCCCACCGAAGCTGAACAGGTCGTCCTCTTGTTCGTCAGCGTCTTGAAGGTGAGCGGCGTTGTCATGTGGGTGCGATGCCGCTCTCAGTGGCGGAGTCGAGGGCGACGTGCGGGTGCCCGACGGGGCAAGGTTGGCGCTGGCTGGCCCGTCGCCTAGGAAGTCAAGGCCCCCGCCAAAGCCGAACGGGTCGTCTTCCTGTTCGTCGAATATCGCCCGTTGGGCCTCGGCCCAGAGCTCGTCCGGGTTCTGTGGGATGTCTGGTCCAGCCGCGGGTGGTGCCTGGTCAGACAGCAGGGGGTTTGGTTCCATTTTGTTGAGTTCCGCAGCTGTAAACCCAGCCCTGCGGTGTGGGAGGGGAGTGTGCGGTGTCTACGCTCGTAGATGGCGACAGCGACTCCATGAAGCACGGTCGCTTGGCGATGTCGTGTTTTGGCAGTTTCGACAATGTCGTCTGGAAGGTTATGAGTACGTGCCGCCGTTGTGGCGAGGGCGTCAGCCTGACGATTGAACTCCTCCGCGATGGGCCCGATGAGCCCGAGGTCAATGCCCATGTCGCCCAGGTGGCTTGCGATTTTCTCGACGCGGAACATGTTGGGCTTGGCCATGACGCATCGGTGGATCTTTTCCCAGAGCTCCACGTGCGTGCCCTGCGGTGGTGAGTGTCCGTCGATGATACTTTGGAACCATCGACCACCGCCTGGTTGTCCACGAAAACGTGTACGGGCCGTTCAGCACATGCCGTGAGGTGGACAATGGCGAGGGTATCCGCAAGCTGTGCGTTCTGCGTAATGCCGTGAACGCGTGCACTGTAGTTCATGCGGTGGTCGATGCCGTAGTAGACGCCGTAGCCCGCTCGTGCTAGCAATGGGATGGCTTGGTTGGTGCATGCACCGTCAGTGGCAGCGTAGACCCATGTCCAACCAGTGTCGTGGTCAAGGTAGGTGGTGTAGGAGTCCTGGGCTGAAGCCGCAGGATCTCCCTCCGGTGGGGGCCGCGGTATGGGCTGAGGTAGCGGGTCCCTCGCGAGGTCGGCCTGCAGGTCGAGGAGGGCTGGGTCTTCATCGAAGAGCCCGCAGTGTCTGGTGTGCGGCGGAAGACGGGCCCACTGCTCGTCACTGATGAGGGTGGTGAGAGGGAGTCTTTCTCGGGCCCAGCACTTGCAGTCGCGGACAGTGTGCTCCTGAGTTTCCTCTTCCTAGTCGCAGTATCGGCAGATGGGGCTGGGGTCAGCAGACGTGTTTGATCGGGATCGTCGCTGTTGGGTGTGGTCCCCGCCCGACAGGTAGTTCAGGAGGAGCGCCAGCTGCCAGGCATTGCATTTGGCTGCTCCTTTCGTTCGGGCGAGCCACGTGCTGGCGAAGAGGTCGAGGACCTGTCTGACAGAGGCAAGGTATCCAAGGTCGTGACGCCGTGGCTTGATCCTCCTCAGAAAGGCTCTGCGTTGTGAGGCCCGCAGCATGTGAAGGAAAGCGTTTTGGGGTAAGTTCAGCCAACTGATCTGGCAGCCCCAGTCGTCGTACATGATGCCAAATGTGGGCCAGGTCCAACGGAGCTGCTGGAGCGTCTGGACAAGTCGTCCGACAGGTCCTCCCCCAAACAGGGTCTGAACGTGGTGTTGGAGATCCCTGACGAGACCGCAGAGTGTAGCGTCGCGATTAACCTGTCGCCGCAGACTCAGGAAAACTTCACGCTGCGTGATGGCGTCAATCTCCAGGGCGTGTCCTGGGACGCACACGGCCATGAGAGTCCAAAACTCGACCCACTTGTTTCCCTTGGGGCGGATAGCCGCCTTTAGGGCATGGTTGTAGGCAGTTTTGACGGGGCCTGATGGGGCTTGAATGTCGGTGCCCGTGGTACAGACGCTGGCAGCAAGGGAACGGGCGTGCCGCGCCTTAATAAGCATCGGCGATGGGAGCTTGCAAATGCGCGGCAGGCGACTAGTCGCCCTCCGAACACGGGCGTCAGCGGTGGCCGTGAGGTTAAGCGCGGCTGGTGCCGGCGCTGCCTCGGCGTTGATGTAACTCCCGACGAGCTTGAAGGAGTCGACCACGCGTAAGGGCCGTTCCGCCAGAGTGAGCTGGGTAACGGCGGCGTGAAGCTCGTCGGTGAGCGCCCGCCCCGCCACTTTGCCAGGGTGAATGCGTTGACCTGAAAATCGATCAAACTTGGCGGTTTCATCAAGAGATTTCTGCAACTCAGGCGCGGTGTGAGTAGTGGAGGTGCTGTCGTCAACAAAGGTAGTGCTGAGTGATCGCGGAACGTATCGATGCTGTCTCTTGGTCCACACACACATGAGCAGCTTAATGTCGTCCAGGGACCAAGAGCTTCCCTGGAGGTGACCGTTGGTCCTGGCCAATTCCTTAGAGTACGCTCCGTTCATGCGGATGTAGCGTTTGTGGCGACTGTAGAAGTTTCTGCGGACAGTAACGATGTCTTGGGGGGCACCCCGCGTGAAGCGC